TTTTCGTAAGATATTCATTAGTAATATTCACAGCACTTCGATTGATTGATTGATTGATTGGTTGATTGAGTGATTGTTTAGTGATTACGGGCACAACTACCAGGGTCGTTAATCCCGTAAGTGTAACGAATGTTTTGCTAGGAAGGTGGCGGTGATCTTTCCCCCGCTGCATGGCGATAATCGGTGACGACCTACTGTAGGCTAGCGGGGATTTGCCCAACAAGGTACCTCACACCAATGAGACACTACATCTTAGCTCATGACGGGTCTCCCGGCATCTGTGGTAGTGTAGTGTAAATGTGTGCGTAAGGGGTGAGGATAGGACAAGGAAGAAGGAGGTGAGATCGCGCGCGGTCCGTTTTTTAGGGTACTGCTCCGGCATTCACCTGGCGTTGATGGGAGAAACCACAGAATATTACCGATCAGAGCAGCCGCTAGAATTCTCCTCCAGAGAGCGACAAATCGACCTAGCTAGTGTCGATAACTGCCACCGTCGGAACTCGAACCTACGACCTTCCGGTCAAAGGGACTGCAGTGACTTCAGTTGATGCTTTGAGCCATCTCTCCCGGTCATCACTCCGAGTGATTTTTTGTGTGAATATTTCACGAATTAAATCACTGCATGAATCGAATGGATAATTAAAATCACAGAAATTACGAAAAAGAGAAATATTACTCAAAATTGCAACCGGAATATGTAAAACTTTTATTCAGCTCTGAGTTATCACTGCCTCCTGGAATAAATTAATAAAGTAAAATATAACAGTTTTGTAAGAGATTGGTATTGTGGTGAGTTATCGTTGGCATTTACAATGAAATAATTATTTGAGTAGTCATTGCCAACAATATTGTTTACTACAATAGCAGCTTTCGATGGCTTAGCCATCATCATCATCATCATCATCATGCTCATCAGTTTTCTAGTACAAGAAATATAAAAACATAAGTTACATGAGTAAAAGCAGCATTAGGATAAATAAATTAATAATAATATACAATTTTAAAATAGAATTAATGTTTTAATACGTGAAAGAAAAAAAAGAAAGAAAGAGGTGTTAAATCATTTAATATTACAAGAAAGTGAACGACATTGAATTTGAATATGTGACATTTTTGAAACAGACAACATGAAAATGTAAGTTGAGCCGTTTCTTATCTGCTGTATGGAAGCTACAAAAAGACTACGCAGGCTCGGGCGATAATGACAAAAGAGGAATTTCACATATTACTATATTCCGACCTGATGGAAGCTGAAAATTTATTATAGTAACACAATTAAATTAAACTAAGAGGCGGTCAAATAATCGCATTATTTACGAAACTAATGGGCAGTATTGCAAGACACATAGAAAAAATTACATTGATAATTGAACTAATGAATCATTAGATAGATAGATAGATTTATTAAGTTCCGCTTTTGAGCTGATGCTCGTGGGAAACATGATAAAATTTAAAATTAGAAATACTAAACATTTTCAACTTTATAATTTGGGTTTACTATTAGAATTAGGGGCTTGATTCATATAGTTCCAATTATTTAATTCTACAACTCCTAATTCACTTTCTATTATTACATACACTTCACTTACTACACTACACACACACTAACACTACACGCACTCCCCTTCACTACCTTACATCTCCTTCCCCCCACTACATACACTTCACATCACTTACTGTATAGGGCCATGGACGATAATATTATGAAATCAAATATAATAATAATAATAATAAAAGTAATAATGATAATATAATAATAATAATAAGATAAATGTTCTCAGTGTATTATTGAGATGATCTAGAATGGAATGAAAGTATATTTTTATATTTGGTACTTAGAAGGAAGAGCCTCTAGTATCATTGTAAAACATAATTTATTCACAGTGCAAAAATGAACCAAATACTGCACAGCTTATTATAAATACGAAGAAATTCCAATTTGGCAAATGTTACTCCCTGATTCAGGTAGGTTAGCAAACCAATTAAATTACACTTCCTAACAAGACAATGCATTAAATAAAACTTAATATCACGCAGTACAACTCAGGATAATTCTGGATCAACACAATTAAATTGGACGCATTTATGATCACTCCACACCCTTCACATAACCTCACAAATTAAATCGCGCACAGTCCGCTCCGATCATGTTGACGTCATCGGCACGTCGGAAGTCAAGTTCGGACTTTTTGCAAACGGCACGGCGGATCGAATCGAATCGGATCGGATCGTCCGTGCCGATCAAGTGCGCGCGCCCTTATGAAATTCAATGCAATTAACTTAAAAAAGCATCCCCACGGGGTATTGGGAGTCAGCGGTAAATTATCGATCAATATTGTAAATGAAACCATAATGAAGGCAGAGTCATAAATATAGCCAGTTATCGCTGGAGCCAAAGAAAACTTACATCACTGATCACATTCATACTAGAAAAGTGAGTGGTTGATGTTAGAAAATACTAATTAAAATTTGTTTCACCTTCAACTTCAACAATTCAACTTCAGCAAATCACTTTATAACGATTGCGAGTAATTTCAATAAAAATCTATAAAAGTTTATGAATAGTTGTGATAAAAATGTGCTTCTGAGGTAAAGGTGGTCAGTGATTCTCACTATTGCAGTGTGCCTTCTATTGCCTCAAAGAAAATAATTTATTGAACTAAATGAGTTTAATTGGCTGTCTGGTGCTATTTAGACATGTTCCAAGAATGGCTGGACGGATGAAGAGCTTATTGAATGGCTCAATCACTTTGAAAGCATACTTGACTCAGCCGCTGCTGATCTTGGACAACCTTGTGAGTCACCTTACGTTAGACGCCTACAATTACTGTAAACAAAGAAAACTAGCGTACCCATGCGAGAACTCTCGCATGTTAAATTCTACCCTCTTCCCTATCTTTCCTTTTCCATATTAAGACGGGAAGTTGTTAACGAAACGTGTTTATTTGTGTAAAAAAATTAAAACGTAACTTCCAATGTACTTATAGCATTTACAATAAAAAAAGAACATTGAAATTGATGTTTGTAACAATTTTTTAATAAAGGCTTATTCGGGATTATAGACAGATTATAGATAATTCACTACACTCCCTTAAAAACAGCATTTGAAATAATTGTACAATATTCCTTGACAGCTATTCGCTTTCCTTGATAGTCACAAAAATATTACAAACTGTTTTTACTCTCGAGAAAGCTACTTAAAGTTGTCCATGCAAAGAAAAACAGTTTCGGGCCAGCATAACCCTACTCTTCGGAATATTATGTAACCTTATTACCGGGAGGTACGCTCGTGCAATTTAATTTCACATACAGTTGCAGATTCTGTAAGCTCCTTATTCTGCAGATACTGTAGGTTATATCACAAGCTATTCACAAAACCAAAAACGTCAATACTTACATTCGATAAATAAACGGTTGCACTGTACACACAAAAAGCAATCTTCACCGGTAGAATATAAGGCAACTATTAATACTTCTTGCTGCGAGATCATTTAAGTTTATTTGCATAATTTTGAATTAATGATTATACAAATTAATCTCATCAGTCGGCGTAAACCACGGTGTACACAGAAAACATACATGTAAGTTGGGAAAATCTGAGCCTTCCAAGTGTGACGTCACAAACAAAGTCGCCTCCAGCGCCAAGTATTATAATAAGTATTAGTCGACCAGACGCAGGCCGCCATGTTGCATGGAGAGCGAGAAGTGTTGAGAAACGTTTTGAAAGTGGCAATTTTCATCGGTGAGCAATCAAAAATAAAATGATGATGGGGTGTAAGAGGAAATATTTAAAAGAAATACTTCACATACGTTTCAATGAATTGAAACAATGTGATAATTTTGATATCTGCCCTGCATTTAAAATTCCCGCTATTATTGTGACGCATGTGGATCCTGACGCCCATTGGCTGAAGTCGGATGTAATGCGCAAGTGCCCACCATCTTCCACCATCTTTGTACTCATGCACACCCGATTGTGGACCATACCGTAGCCCTCTGGTGGCAACCTAGATAAACTAATTCATCGGGCGGCAAATTCAATTACTACAAGTTTGTCAGAAATTAACAATGTACTTAAAAGCAATAAAATTAAATAAGCAAGTTATAATGAATTCAAAAACAAGAAATTCAAAATTTAAAGAAAATTACCAGAACTTAAAAATTTATATTCAAAACACATCGAACATCTGAAATCGAAGAGAAACACCTATGTAAACATCAATCTTAGCCCTGATAGTATTTTGGTTCATACCATTGTTGTATTTGTTCTAGCTATCTCTATTACTCGAGCGGTGTTACAAAGCATATTTCAAATATGTCTACAGAAAGAAAATTACCCTTTTTTATTGTGTAAAAGTGGCATATGTTGAGCCTGTAGTCACTATCACTTCATTTTATAAACTATTTCTAACGTTTATAACATTTAGAGTAGTTTATAGATTGTCTGTTCAAATAGTTATTGATTTTATGTATTCTTGGTATTATAGACAATCATAGATAAAAACAGGAATTAATAAAAGTCAAACAAACACAGGTTGTAATAAAAAGCACATATGAATAGAAACAATAGAATATGTGGAACAATCAAGAGACACTTGAGCAGAGACATGAATCCAGAAACAAAACTGAAACTCCACAATAGAGCTGCTAAACCTAGAATCATGCATGGCTCTGAAACGGGTAAAGAAAGAGAGACAAACAAAACTACAGGTGGCACACATGAGATTTCTAAGATATCTTATGGGAATTACAACAGACAGACAAAGAAATAAGGACATTAGAAAGAAATTGAAAATCAAATGTTTAGTATAAGAGATACAACAGTTTCAAAGGAGTGGAAGACATTTACAGAGATGAACAAACAAATAGTTTTTCAAAATTATTGGAAGTACAAAATAACAGGGACAGAGATAGAAGGAACCACTAACAGGTGGCCCCAGCAGAACATGTTGCAAGACTAAGAATCTACCAAGAATACTGTAATAAACCAATAGAAACAGGCTTTTTATTACAACCTGTCTGTCTGCCTTTTATTAATTCTTGTTTTTATCTATGTTTGTCTAGAATACAAAGGATAATTAAAATAAATAACTATTTCTAATTTTATTTATTGCTTACACATGTGCCAAACAGCATTTATGGGCATTTCATGCCCATGAATATATGCACATGATGAGGCCATTTCCATTTACAATTTTGAAATAAAAATAAAAATTCTTTCCTCTTTCAATAGATAGGAAATTCTCAATTAATTGCTTAAGTGTTAGAAAGACGTTGAATCATTACAACATTGTATAACCATTACCCTTAAAACAAGACAGTATGTGCTATTGAGCACTACTAGTTTCAACAAGGTAACTTACAATGAGTGACATGTTTTTATGAAAAACATAATGGTATTACCAGTGCATGTTTTCGTGAGTTATTTTGCTAGATGCAAAAGGATGGAGGGTTAGATTAGTTTTTGTTGACTGAACCACTATATCAGATCTGTAGCTTGTTTTTTAATACAAAATAATTTCTATTACACATTCTTGTTATCGTATGGTCAACAATGCTCATTGCTATCTTTTAATCTGAATTTAACTAATGTTTATACAGAAGTGGGGGTAGATGTTCTGAAGCTCAGGAAAACTTGTGTGAATAATGCATCAATAATGAAATGTGTGAACCGAAGAAAAAATAGAAAATACAGCTACGTTTTCTTGCCATAAATAATGTATTCTCAACAAAATCCAAGAAGCAGTCAAAAATGATCCTGCTTGATGTAGAAAGTCTTATTGGGAAAAATATAAATATAACACATAAGCCCTGAAAGATATTGAAGTTTTGGCCTTGTTAATCAATATTGAAAAAGAAGTTAAGAATTTGATTTTGTTACTGAACTTTGTGAACTTGCTGATGGAAAAAGGTTTTATTGAGATGTGTCAGTAATGATGTTTCACAAAATAATGCCAAACATTTATTGACTTTTATAACTATCACTTGGTATTACAATAGTAACATGAGCATTTCACAACATATAATACATATGATACATATCAAATCTATGTTTTAACCTCAGCAAAAGAAAGTTTACTGAGCATTTTTATAGTGGCAGCTCCACACAAACAAATTTTGCAACATGTTTGCTCTTAGTTGTCTGGGCAGAAACGCATTTTTTGCTTAACAAATGTTAAAAATGAAAGTTGGCCCACAAGCGTACAATGAGAGTTGTCAAGACAGCCAGGAGCAAACACATTACTACAGCCATGGAAAGGAAGCTTACAACTTGCCTGAATGGAAGGGAAGCTTACAAGTTTGCAACATAAAATCATAATCAAATATCTTTACAGACTCAGGTAACTCTTCATCCATTTTCCTATGGAGTATATTTATACTACACACAAAGCACACAACCTAGCTAACTCCTTTTGAAAATACATGAGAGGATTTTTCTGAGTTGTTTAGAATGGATGACATTTCAGATCTGAATATCTATGAAGGCTTATGTAATTAAAAACAAAGTGCAAACTCCTCCCCTAAATCTGTATTATAAAGTAAACATTCTCATAATTCCACCCCCAAGGATACTTAAAAACATGACTGGCCTTTCATATTCACTACATTTTGTTTTAACTCATGAAAATATAAAAGTAATACTGTACACTTAATTACAAATAAATACTACAATTGTATTAAATAAAATATTAATATTATACAAAATCAGGATTCATTGTGTTCCTTTCATGCCTTTGGTATGGCTTTGATTTGCACAGTTTTGTCATTCACATATTCTCAGTATTGCATTGAGTACACTCCTCCTTACATTCACACACGTATATACATCAACATTCAGACACTCATTCTCACTCACTAAAATACAGCTCGCGTTTCACTTTCTGCAGGAAGCACAGTGGTCCCATTGTCATTAACAAATGTGTGCAACATCACAGAGAATATCACAGACTTCAGATTTTTTCAGGTACATCAGAAATATTTGCCTCTGCCTCATCATCACCAAGTTCTCTCTGGATTTGGGCAAGAGATTTTCCTTTTGTTTCAGGAACAAAAAAGAATACAAATATTGTTCCTAACGCTGATATTCCAGCAAAAATCCAAAATGTTGGCCCAAGATCAAGGGCTTCTTCTACATTACTGAAGAATTTTGTAACAAGAAATGCGATGATCCAATTCACCATACATGAAATTGAACTTGCTGCTCCTTTAATATTTGGTGGAAATAATTCACCAACCATCATCCAAGGAATTGGTCCATAACCCAAAGAGAAGACAACAATAAACAAGCAAACGCTCAACAGAGGCAACCAACCAATATCCTTTGCAACTGGGTCTTCTTTTTCATCTAAGAAGAAAAAGACACCAAGTAGTATGCAACAAATTGACATTACAAGATCCGAGATGAGTAACAGGATGCGACGTCCAAGGCGATCTACAATTTGCGTTGAGATGAAAGTAGCAACTACTTGCACTACACCAACAATGACTGTGCATGTATTAGCTTCCATTGAACTGCCAGCTTGCTGTAAACATACAAACATTCCTTAGAAATAAAAGTATTCTGATGAATGATATATGAAATATCAGATTTGATTGTATTTCAAAATAGTATTTCATGTGGAAAGTATTGTGCATAAAAACAATATTTCATGCAAAGATAGGAGCAATATGATATGAATAATAACACAGTAATGAATAATGAAATAAATGATATCATAGTAAGAGGGTTAACTCACTTCAAAAATCTTTGCAGCATAGAAAATCACAGCATTGACTCCACTCAGTTGTTGGAAAACCATCAATCCTACAGCAATGAATAATCCTCTCTTTGCTGCTTTGGTAGAAAAAGATTGAAGGAATGTAAGTTTCATTTGTTCTGCTTTCTCTAAGGCGTCTTTTGATGCACGAATTTCCTCATCAATGTCATAATGAGGTCCTCGGAACTTCTGAAGTGATTTTCGGGCTTCTTCTTCCTTCCCAAATTTAAGCAGTTGAATGGGAGTTTCAGGCATTGTGAAAAATAGAATTCCAAATACCAAAGGAATAGCTGCACATACACTTGTCAAAATCTTGACATCGACTTTTGCAGCTCCCAGAATGTAGTCAAAGAGAATACCAAATGTCACCATCAATTGGAAGAAACTGCCCAACATTCCTCTAACCTTGTCATCAGCAATTTCACTAGTATATGCTGGAGCAGTTAAACTAAATGCTCCTCCCATCATACCAGTGATAAATCGACCTAGAATAAACATCCAAAGCTGAAAATAAAATGAAAATTAGTTTCTAAATCTTCAATTTCAATTCTGTTCTTTCGCTTAAATGCTTACAAAATTTAATAACTTTTACCAATTAAAACAAAATAAATTATCATTTTCTTATGTGCTATGCCGTTCTATATAATTTATTTTCTAATTAACAGAAAATTTTATTTCACTGTTAATGAAAAGTAGGCAATTCAAAATGTTTCAATGATTTTAGAATGTCTTTGATGACAAGTTCATTCAACTATAATGACCAACAGGTTCTATGCTTATCTGGCTAAACTTTTACAAAAAATTATTTGGAAATCTTATTTTATTTAACTGTGAATTACCATTGAGCCTCAAACTAAGAAATATGACAGTAACAATAGTCACTGATTGTCACAGCTATTGCTAGGTAATATCTGAAATTAAATTTTAAATTATTTTAGTATGTAGAATTTAGATTAGGTTCAATATTAATTCACAGCTAAAAAAGATTTCTGAAGAATTATTTTGAAAACTTAGACAGTTATACATAGAATCTGTTTGACATTATAGTTGAATGAACTTGTCATAAAGCTATTTTCTTTTGAAAAATATTCGTGAATTTTGATTGAAAAATTCGGTTCAAACATATTTGAAAAACTTAGCTGAATGTATTTCAAAATGATAAAAATATTGAGTATTGAGTAAAACAAGAAAGAGAATACTCATAAAGTGCTTTAGAAAGTTCACATTAAATAAAATAATATTAAATAAAATTAACATTTTTTATAAGAACTTCACTTAATGACCTTGTTACACACAAAAATGAGAATTTACAAATCAATACATTGGTATGCAATACTTACATCATCTGCAAACACAAGCAGCACCCATCCAGCAACAAAAGGCAAAACTAACAACAACATAGTTTTCTTCCGGCCAAGAACATCCATTAGTAACCCACAAGGAATAACAACTGTAGCAGCCCCAGCAGCCATTGTAGCCCCAATCCAAGATACGTCATCGGGTGAGAATTGTTTTTCTTTGAAGTATGCTTCAGTGGGTGAAGTCCAGCTCAATACATTTCCCAATGCAAATGCTCCTAATGTCACTGTAACACATCGTACATGTAAGATATACAATAATATAAAATATATAACAGTAGTTTGTCACTAATACTATAAATAGTACAGTAGAAAATCCATAACCTACTGGTCAATAATCTGAAAGGGATTAGTTGGCAAGAACAAAAACAAACCTACACATGATTTTATTAAAATAAAATTATACGTACTAAATTTTATTTTACTTAGCTACTGAGGAAAATCCTAATTGCACTACTGCTTATTAAAAACTAGATTCTAATATTATAATATCAGGGAATTTCCATTTTCAACAGAACCCATTCCTTATCATTACCTTAAAATTATCAAGGTTCTAGTTGTGTCTAGAAAATCATTCCCAATATTTATGAAGGAGAAAGGAAAAGCACCAGAGTACATTTGATAATCTAATAAAATGGGGCTGGACAAGGTTGGATAACTCAAAAGTCTGGATAAGTCTGTGACAAACAGAGCAAAGTGGATAGAGCTAGAGCAATACAACAATACATTTTAATGAACGCAAAAATACAAAGTTGAAAGGTTATAAATGTGCCCTGACATATTAAAGATAATATTCACTACGTATAACTTTTGGTGGATGGCGGATTTTTTAGAAAAAAAATGTCAACAGTACTGTGTGTTTACAAACTTACTAGGTTCTACTATTTGTACATAATATATCTACTTATATATTTCTGTTCAATAACATGTACAGTTATTGTAATTCCAAATACACAAAGTAACCATACCTGAGATTGCTGCAAGAAATTGCCATAATCGCCGAGGTTCTGTGGAACTGCCAGCGGTGGAAACCAAGGTTTGTGTACTAATACCAATTTTGGGGTCGTCCATTGCATCCAATAATGGGGTGATTTCGTCTTCAGTGGACTAGAAACAGAAAATATTATTATATGTAAAGCTGTTCATTCTTAACTAAAAACAAAACATTTGTTACTCTGGGTGAATAACAGTTCAATTCACAATTGTATATTAAAAACGTAGTAAAAAAAAGCGATTATAATTCTTCCTAAATTGCGAATATTGATGGCAATTTATTGAAAACTTACAGGTCCAGGGACGATAGCCCCGTAGTTAACATGTTCGTTCCTTCTAAGCTGCTCATTTTCTTGGATCATTTTGTAAGTGTTACAATAAATCTAAACGAACACAAGTGAACACATTGACGGCTTTAACTACACTGACAACTTCTATTACAACGTAGAGGATATCTTCAGTAAACAAATGTCACCGCTGACCACTTTCAACACAAATTCCAATTGGCTGTTCACCAGCACCAAAAAACAGATAACTAAATGTGCGTCAGCTTTCAAGCTACACAATGGGATAATTGACAACAGTGAAAAATAATGCAACCATAGTGTAACCAACATAGCGCTCGAAATCCGGGGATGCCAACTGCCAAGATTACCCTCTAATAAACCGTCTAATAAATACCGTCTATGTAGGTGATGCGACTGTAAATAAATCAAATCAAATCAAGATTACCCTCAAATTTAAATACTACCTATTAGGCGTCAACGTAATGAATTCTATACCAAACATTACTCAATTTCTAATAAATTTATTTCTTGTACCACTAAGCCTATCTCTATATACGAATGGTAAATACACACATTTTCGAAGTTAATATTCTTAAAATTAATGTTAGCTTTCCAATCCAATCGTCATATTATAATATTTAAACGAAAACGATGACGGTAGTATTAAATAGTAGTAGTAGTAGTAGTAGTAGTAGTAGTAGTAGTAGTAGTAGTAGTAGTAGTAGTAGTAATAACAATAACAATAACAATAACAACAACAACAACAACAACAACAACAATAATAATAATAATAATAATAATAATGCAATATTTTTAGATAAAACAGTGTAAAAGTACGTTAAGTCAGGTTGGAGTATAATTCGATACTGGTTTTAACAAACAAAAAGTATCTGCAGGGGTGGATAAATTCCGCATATGGCTCGCAATATTGCACGAAAACTATTACAATTTTCAAAAATATGCACATGATCTTATTGAAAAAACTTATTATGTACAACATATTTCATTTGAAAGGAAAATCTCTATCTTCAATTTTGTAGTTGTAAGAAAACGCAAATTTAAATTTTTGAAATGTTCGAAAATTCAGTGTTACGGTGAAAATCGAACGTATACTACCTTCATAAGTGTATTTTACTATATTCTTTTATATACAAAAAATGTTTTTATGATTTTGACGCTAGTGGTGTTCACAAACGGACAGACGGACGGACAGACGAACGGACAGTTTTGAAAAGAACCACTTTTTCGGAATCAGAGGACCCCCAAAACGTGTATTTCCGTTGAAATCACGAAATCAATTTTCCGCAGCATTACATAACTTTCCCTAAACTAAGTATATTACTCCGTTTGCACGTACGTATATGGAAAAGTAAAAATTACATTTGTGTAATTTTGAAAAAACAACAACAAAAGAATACTCCAAAACGAATTTTATGCCATATTAACAGTACAATTAGCACTACACGTTGCAAAAGTTTAAAGAACAAATTTGGAGACATTTTTGAGAAAATGCGGTTGAGCATTTCTGAAAATGCGGAATTTTGAACTCATGTTTACAGAAAATGGTTGAGTTTTCGAGAATCGTGATTCGATATTATTTAGAGCACATGTATTCATAAGTATAATAATGTGAACAAATTAAGCTATTGTAAATAAAACAATGCGGGAGACAAGTAAAAAAATTACATTTTCGTAATTTTTGAAAAAACAAAACAAACAATAACAAAAGAATAGAACAATATGGTGTTTGTGTCATCTTATAGAGTACATTCAGAATTATCTCTACCAAAAGTTTAAAGAAATAATTTGGAGCCCTTTTTGAGAAAATCTTGTTTTTATTATTTTTTAACATTACACATATTGTGCGAAAATTACTATACTTTAAAAAAATGTACATGGGGATATTGAAAGAACTAACTACAGAGAAAAACAAATACTTGAAGGAAAAATATCTATCTTCAATTTTGCAATAGTAGGAACAAGCCGAAAAGATGACCTATGATACATTTACAAGTACTATATTCTTTCAAACACATTCAGAGTTAACAGTGAAAACAGAACTTCGCCATCTTTATGAGGTTATTTCACTCTATTCTTACAACAAATTTAAGGAAACAAATTGGAACCATTTTTTGAGAATATTTTGAAAATGTCCCAAGATCTTTATGTAAAATATCCCCAAATTTTAAAGAATGATTTTTCAAAACCCCAGACCTTCGAGTCGGACCAGATCTACCGGGGAATCCTACAAATAGTTGAGGCGGTACTGTTGTTCACAGGCAGATGGAGGGATGTTTTGAGAAAACAAAACACAAAAAACACCACTTTTCGGTAATAGGGTGCCCCAAAACGCGGATTTCCATTGAAATCTCCAAATCGATTTTCCGCAGCATTACGTAAATTTCTTTAGACTACGTATATTTCTCCATAAATAAAAACGTGTACGGTTGGAATCGAATACAATTAGATTGTGAAAAATGCAAGAAACCTGTATTCCCCAGAAAGGTATCTCCCACCAGTGGGGCACCTCCCCAGCCGGGACAAGCTCTACGCTCCAGACCAGTCGTCCGTCATGAGTGGTAGTATAGTGCATTTAGTGTGTGTGTGTGTGTGTGTGTGTGTGTGTGTGTGTGTGTGTGTGTGTAAGTGGTGAGGATTGGAAAAGGAAGAGGTAAGAAAGATTGCGCTCGGTCCGTGGCCCGTTTGTTAGGGTATTGCTCCAGCATTCGCCTGATGTTTAGGTTTAAGTTATTCCATATAATCCTAGCTCTGTTTATAACTAAGGTGAAATTCCGATTTCATTAAAATCTCAGAATTTTCGAAAATTTTAAAAGTTTAAACATATTTCGATCCTTTCCATCCTTTTCAACTTCTTTACTGAAGAGAAAGATTTGTTTCTTAATGATACATGTTCTTCAAAATTAGATCTTTAAATAATGTTAAGAACAATGTTCTGAAAATATGAGTCGTTTTCGCTTATTTTGAGTGAAGTCGTAGCAATTTTTAAAAATTACGTAAAGAAGATTTTCTAACAGAAATATTAAAAATCTCCTCCAAATGTTTTGCTTAATTTTTTTGTATAATTACAGCAATGATTGCTTTTAATACAGAATAAACACGATTTTTTAAAAAAAGAAAAAACTCTGGAATTTCAAAAAATTGCAACAGTTTAATTTTTTGGCTTTAGTTTCAGGCCTTCAAAGTTGAAGTTAGATTGCTTATACTCGTAGTATTGTGGATTAGATTGCATTATATTGGTTTGAACCGTTTCCTGTACATTTTTTCAAAATATTAGTATTTTTTGGAGTAATTTTGGACGGTTCCACCAATTCTAATAGACAATAACTATATCGTCGCAGTAGTAGAGCGTCCATAAGGGATTGGTTAGATCTCAAAATTTGAAATCCGAAGGCCGAGCCAGTAAAATGTATATAAATAAAGCCTGATTTTCATTAAAACATGCAAAATTGCAAATCTTTAAAAATTCGAAAATCGAATCTTTTACACTTCTTCTACTGAAGACTCTTTTTAACGAGGCGACTGAATTATTAGTAGAATAAAATTTGCAATATTACAACGTATCCATTAAAGACAAAACGGGAGAATATGTGCTGTTGTAGCACTGCTAGTTTGCTACACCCCACAGTGTGATCTTGCTTAGAGCTCCTGCAGATGTTAATTCGACCCAGAACATTTGCTTCCAAGATTGCTATATAATAGGGCAAAATTCACGTCAGTAAGAGATTCTGCACGCGCAATTTCATTAATATTCATTAAATCTTTAAACTTATCTTAAAATATTTTTGAAGAAGGTACTTCGATCACTGAGTCGAGTTTTCTTAATTACGTTATTAGCCCTTCAAGAACGTGCCAAATTTCTGTTTCCTAAGATACGTAAGATTATCAATCGAATAATCATTTATGTATTTATAAATTGATTTAATTATCTATAGACAGAAAAATGCTAAACACCATGAATAAAGTAGTGTGGAAAAGAAATACAATCTATTCAAGTTTTCTTTAGCTCTGAAATTTATACTCTAGCTAGTATTGTATGTTAAACCAAATTACGAATACAAGCAGCAATGATAACTCTTTTTACTTCCTCAGCTAATTCGCACTTATGCAGTTAAGACAAGTATTGTAGTGCTGCTGTAGAAAGTGGCTATTTTTCGTTAGAAAATCTCTATATGTGGGGACCTTGATACCAAAAACGTGGATAATCTTTGTTCCAATATGTAATAAATTACTTGACTAATATACTTGTGTACTTTTGATGTGACTAGTATACCTGTACAATTTCGTGATTTAGAAATTCTGACTACACGTTGCATTGCCAGAATCCACGTTTTTGGGCCATTTATACCGAAACATTTTCTTACAACAAAAGTCTTTTGTCTGTCCGTCTGTCGGTCGGTTTGTATGTCCGTCTGTTGGTCGGTTCGTCTGTCCATCCATCCGTCTGTCCATCCATCCGTCTGTCCGTCTTTCGACTGTCTCTCCGTCCGTCTGTCCGCCCGGTTGTCCTTCCGTTTTCCGTCCATCTGTCTTCCGTGCTTCTATCGGTCCATCTGTTTAGTGGTCCGTCTGTCCGATCGTCTGTTCGTCTGTCCGTCTGAACGTCTGTCCGTCCGTCTGATCGTTCCTCCTGCCGCCTGTTCCTCCGTCCGTCTGATCACCGTTCTGCTCCTCCGTCTGTCTGCTCGTTTGACTGTCCTTTTGTCTGTCCGTCTGTCTGACCGTCTACCTGTCCGTCTGCGGTCAACATTAGCGCCCATACCGTTCAGATGATTTTAGCCCAAAACTGTATTTCCTGATAGAATTGACCGAACTCAAGACCCTACAACTTCGAAACGGATACTTACATTACAGGAGTTCATTTGATCATATAGCGATTTAATTGACTTGTCACATTACACTTCGAAAAACACCCACAGGCGTCTCTAGATTTGAATTGACGTTTCTCTCTCTCTCTCTCAAATAAATTTAATCAATAAAACCGTTGTCAGTTACAACGCTTCGGACTTTCTCAGATCAGAAGTAAATTTTGCAATCGAGTTTTGGTCGACGAATCGATGTTAATTTTCAGATGCTGATTTGCTGGCATACTTTATTTTCTGACTTGCAAATGAGGGCTCTTGATACTCGTTTATCCACAAATACATCGACAAGTATGTTAATTACAGACATGTTATTGAATTCAAATACATCTATGCAATTTTAATTATCAAGCATGCCAAATAATATTAGTCTCTTGAATAATATATAAACCGTTATAAACGGATTAACCGTTGTAAACGGATTATGTATAAACCGTTTTCATGAACTCTCATTTTATTTTCTACTAGATAGTTATGTAGTAAAGAGAGAGTTTTGTAATGCTGCAGCGGAAAATAAAGGTTTTTGACAGAAAAACTAGAGTTGTCGGATCCTGAAGTAAAAAAGTGGAAAAACCTTGCTTCTGAATGAAAAAATTACTTCTCTAATAT